GATGATATTTGCTTTATTGTTACCTGGTTACGATTTCGTACAACTCATAAATGGTTTGTTATATTTACAAATTTGGAAGTCTTAATCAAGTTAGATTGACAACTTGTTCGATTATCGTTTACAGTATAAGCATCATTTCCATTCAGCAAACTTTATTATATGTCTATAGACATATATATATTAGGTAGATTGATAAATACCCGACCTAAGTAATAAAAACGCATTTTGTTTGGAAAATTATAGTTTATGCTTCAATATAGTCTCCTTTTAGCACGACACATCGAGTCTAACAATTTCTCACCTTTTAAAATCACGATATACGATTTATCAAGTCCTTCAAAGTATACCTCGACAAATATCGAGTGATTTAATTGATCCAATAATATGTCATAGTAATCTGATATTATTGTTTATCCTTTTCCCAAAAAGTCTATGAAAATTATTCCACTTGAATCCCAATATACGGAACCTAAGATTTTTCTAACCGATTGTTAAGTTTGTGATCGTTTAAGAACACTACCCCCGGGCTCTATCCATTATCTGGCTTATTGTTTTTCCGTCAGGTATGAAGTAATGGATCCATGCTTCATTAATTCTCACTGCTCGACACTTACAGTCAGCTAGATTGTGTATTAACATTTCCAAACAATATTTTGAATAAAGAAGTTGTTCTCATTTTTGGTCAATTTTGAGCAAACGCAGCACCCATATTGCCGGAAGCTTTTTAATACACAAATATTCACATAAAATATTCGATACACGTTCATATTGTATGTTTCTTATCTCTGTTATCTTATTCAATTCAATTTTTGGTTCATCCAATACAATATCGTGCATTTTTTGAAACTTTTTTTCAGTTGTAACCTCTTTTGAATGACCCGGACGCTCTTCATCAAAAACAATCGTACGACCACGTTTAAATTCGTTTAAATGTTATTATTAAACGATATTCAATTTTTTCAATTTTTTAAAAATCACCAATTATTTATTTAAGTAATAGGCTATTAAAGCACCCCGACCTAATAGATCTATTGTGCACCTAAAGGCCCAACTAGGACAATTTTAGACTATTTATAAATGTTGTAATTGCTGTGGGCTTAATTTTACCTGTTTAGAACTTGGCAGATATACAAAACATAATTTATTTTGTTCCGGCGTTGCCACCTATTGTGAAGACAGGTAATTATCAATCCACCTAGTATACACATATATCTGTTGCATTCAGAGGAACAGACAATAAGAGGATAGACACTCATCTTCCTGACAATAGGTGTATTCTTTTGATATGAATGCTCCAATAGAACAACTTATTACACCTAAAATGAACTAAAGATAATAATAATGCAAATACAAATACTAATACATATATTAACTAGAAATGTTAGTGATTAAACGTTAAAAATATGGGAGAAACTTATCATCTTTTAAGAATATCAGTGGAAAAAGATATAGATTAAAGATTTGATTTCTTAGCACTTTTCGAAAACATACTAATAAAAATATTTCCACCTAAATAAACATATTTATATAAATATTGATATTTATGTAAATAAAATTTTACTAACTGCTATTATCATTATTTTAGTCAACTATAAAAACTTACGACAAAGAAATATTTCTTTATATATCATTTTATTTTTACAATCAGAACTCCGCCACTACTATATATACTTAAAATTATAATTATAAAATAGTTACTGTGGATGCTTCCATTTTGCCAGATCCCATTAAAATGCTTCAATTTATTGAATAAATTGATACTCTCATAAAAGACGAAAAGAAAATCACTGATTGATAATAATCATAATCTGCTTATTTAAGAAAGGCAGAACCGAAGACGCAAGACGCAAAATGTCAGGTATTACAATAGAATAGAAGCAAAAATTTGCTAAACATCAAGTCGAAATTAATTTTTTTTTCTTCCTAAATTGTACACAATAACCAAAGCACAACATAATAAATAACATAAAAGCACAAACGTATGGAATATGATATTACTTTTGGCAAGGTATCATTTCCTACCTCGTTTGACAGAGCACTTTCTTTCCCGCTTTGGTTTGATTTGTGTCTTTTCAGTACAAATCTAAGCGGTGGGAGGCAGCGAGCTGTTCACTTAAGCCTGACAAAATTTTGTTGAATAACACGAATGTGATACCTTCAGTACCTGCAACCAGTGATACAACTTTCACACACACCTATTTTTCTGCTGTTTCTCTTCTCTTCACTTCTCTTACTTTGTTGCCTATAAATCAGGAATGAGCACTTGCTCATTATGGCCCATCTTAGGCCATAATTACTCAACAAAACGTATTCTACACATTCCAATTTGCTTGAGCGAAAATTTTTATTTATTAGTTCATATTTTTATTTAGTTCATAAATCATTAAAATATAATAAAAAATAAACGATTTAAAATTTAAATTCATTGTAAGTACATTTTTTGTCTCGAAAGTGAAAGTACTGTAGTGTACCCTAAGATTTCATAGAATGTACATACTAGTATATTCTCATCACATTCTCGTTTAAATGCAACCACAAGAAAAAAATTATTGTTAGGCTGATGTGCCTATCTCTACTTTAAACAGCATCAATTTGTTCCGCTCAACATGTCTGCTGTCATAGTTACGTTTCCCCCTTAGTATAATCAAGTTACTTTAGAGCTACCTTAAAAGTACACGCAAGGTATGTGCTGGGAACCCTCACAGAAAATTACTTACTTTGATTATTGATTATGGATTGTTAGTAAGCTATAATTAGGTTTTTAGCTTAACCTTTCATCTTAAGCTCATTTTCTGATTTGAGAAAAATGATATCATTTTTTCTATTGCTAGAGACATTACAGATTGCATATATTACAAAAGTGGGGTGAAATCTACTACTTTAATAATCCCATAAAGATATTAAATTCAATATTATTTCATGACAAAATTCAATATATTTTATTAAATAAAAAAAAAGTTAATATAACACAGTAAGTGAATTTGTTAATAAACTTTCACGCCAATAAAAAAACTCAAAGTTCAAAAATATGTACACTTGACTTAACGACTTTGGGCCAGTTGGCTAACAAACACTGGCTCTGAGCTTCAAATTTGATAGAGCACAAGCTCAATCCTTGATACTTGTAGTCTTAAAAAGTTATTTATGATTAATTACATGCAAGAAATATTTCCAAGACCACAAATGATGGTCAGCCAAAAATTCAATTAATTAAAATAATATAAAATATAAATTTTTGTTGTTGTAGTTCACTACTTTTCAAGATTTTTCTATAATAAAAGCTTTAAAAAATTGTCTACAATTTGTTCGGCGAATAAAATTTACTTTCAATTTTTTTCAGATATCTCAGACGCAAACTGAAATATTTAAAAAAATTTTTTTTTATTAAAATAGTATCCTTATTTAATAAGAACTTCTAGATACTTTTAAATATACAGGTAGGTATATGAAGCAATGCTATTATAAATAATAATTACGCAGTCATAGCTGTAGAAAATTAGTGAAAAATAGTTTTAGACGCTTTTTGTCTGCAAGAAGTGACTTCTGTTAGTTAAAATAAAATGAGTTATAGTGAAATGAACTAATATATGGATCACAATATAACTGTATAGATTGTACAAATTAAAAAAAATTTTACACAAATATTATAGATTAGAATCTGATTGTTAATCTACAATAAGGCCACTTCACTAAAAATCTAAAATTTGAGTTAGAAGCGTTATTTATATATCAGCTACGACGGAAATAATTGGGGCGGGAGTATTTCGAAATCAAAAAAAATCAATTCATCAGGCCAAAGTACACACAATTGAACTATGTTTGTCTGAGGCATGTTATGCAGAGTGTCTCGGGCACGACAAAATTGACGCTTTCGGCCTATGACGAAAATGCATGTAATGTAGACTGTCACAAGAGTATTGCCAATTTCTTATTTTTGTAAGGTTTTGGTACTTTTTGGTTGTACCTAAATTTAAAAGGAATTGTAGAAATGCTCAAAGAGGCTGTAATAATCCTAATTTTTTATTATATTATCTTATAATAATTGCTAACAGTACTTACAAGATTATATGCCTTTCTTAAAATCGGAAAGTGTGAAAATTAGATTATTAGCGGTTTATAAAATAGGCTGTGTTGCTTTCTGCCATTTTTTCTCCAAAACGTACTGAAATTGGAGAAATTCGCTCTTAAAAGGTGCAATTTTTGACATTTCATACAAGAGTAGAAAGAGAAAGTATTGTAATTCGGTTAAAACTTAAGTCAAAATTTTAATTGTTAAACCCTATGATAAATTTATTCTTAGTAGGAGTATTGACTGCCATTTTGTAGCAATTTGAAGTAGATAGAAATTTTGCTCATTTTCTTCGATATATATATAAAATAGTTGTACTTGTTTTGTAAGTAGACATATGTGTATGTATAAACATATCATATAAACATTGATATAGAAAAAATTTCAAATAGATATTGAAATTTTATTTTGAATATAAAAATGTTATATGTTTCTCGAATCTTTGAATAGAACTAGTGAATTTTAAAGAGCTTGCCCTAATTGAGTTAAAATTAAAAAGAGTCGAAATTAAATTTACATATCAAACTTTGATATCTTTGATATAAGACTAAGAATACTTATAAATATTCTTGGTATCTACTTGATTTGACATCGCAATCAGGAGCAAGCCATAATTACAGCGGAAATAAAGAACAAGGCTATCGTGTGTATAGGCTGAGAGGTATTCTATTTGAATGCAGATGTAATATTGACAATGTAAATATATTGTTACATGTTTTATATTAACACCTTCATATATTATATATCAAGAAAAAAATTTAGTTTGGACTTCGATTCTAAACACTAAAATTAACACATCAAAACAAGTCTCAAAACAAATATTGATATTAATTTAAAGATCCTCTGTCAGATAGGTAAATATTGAATTATTCTTTTTAAACATAGTAAAATTTATATTAATTTTTTTTTGTTTAAATTTCAAATTTTAAGAATTTTAAATTATTGAAAAGTCTTGTTTCCATTCTGCACAAAAGCGTCTTAATTTTGTACGTCAACTATACTTAATTAAAATTAACAGCAATTTTTAATTTAATTATATTCTTTAGTAGAGAACCTTGTTTCAATCAACTTATTCAATTTTTCACAAAATGCCTAAGCCAACCAAGAAATTGTCTTCACAAGAACAAGCACAACAATCGGATCCTGTTTGCCTGAATTTCCATGATATTATCCTTCGCACAAAAGATATTAACATATTGAAAGGTCCACATTGGCTAAATGATCAAATAATAGCTTTCTATTTTGCATATCTTAAAAAATTGAAGTATAAAAACAATTCGGAAGTACTTTTTGTAGCGCCAGCAGTGACCCAGTGCATGAAGTTTATAAGCCAGGAAGAATTAACAACCATGTTAAATGACCTGAATGCCGGTTCTAAAATGTTTATATTGTTCGCATTGAATGACAATATAACGGCTCATGCTGGAGGTAGCCACTGGTCATTGCTGGCGTTATCCAGGCCAGAAAGAACATTCTACCATTTTGATTCCTTCTGTGATCAAAACGGCGGTGCGGCCAGTCAATTAATGCACCAAGTCAAAGCTGCAATGAACTATAAAAGATTTAGATTGAAGCCAATGAAATGTTTGCAGCAAGTGAGTGTTATTTTACGTTTTGTCTTCTAATATAATTTCATTGACTCATGTATATCTTAGACAAACACCTATGATTGTGGAATACACCTACTATGTATGGCTGAAAAAATCGTTGACTATGTTAACATATTCAAATGTATAGACGGCGTGGGTCAGTTGAAACAAGAAACTGTGGATGGTAAACGTGCTAAGTTGTTAAAATTAATCGTTACTTTGGGTGGAAAACACGTTTCAGTTTAATTTCTCCACTTATCTTTATATGTTACTTATAATATTCTTGGAAATCGAAATAAATACAAATTGTTGTTATTAGGAGCAATAATTAAAAAGGCGCTAATGGTGATAATATTCTTTTAACTTCTACTAGATAATAAGATGTCAAAAAAACATTTCCTACTCGTTATATTTCTTTCTCCATTTTATTTCAAATATGTCAAGAATCTATAATATCTCTTCGCAAACTTTGTCTCTTTGTTATTTATGGCCTACCATGGTTTCTTGTTTCGTTTGAATAGGCATCCTAGCATTGTATATTCGTCACTTATCATATGAGTTTAGATAGGTTTTTAGAATTATATATGGGCAAATCGTATTGCAATACGTTTTGTAACATTTCTGTTATTAACCGCTTTTCACATCCACACAGTGGCACTGGCAAGGGACTTGACTTAAATATTCGTCTTATGGTTTTTTTCATTGATGTCACGGGATCTACTAAAGCGTATAGTTGTGCAGAAAAGACTTTGGCTTTGGTAATCCGGTGGAGCACATTTTTTAGAAACTGTCTGCAGTTTTATCATATTTTATCTTATTTATTACTTTATTTTCGTCTTATTGGAGTTGAACTTTAATGCTGTCACTTTTGTTTAAGCATTTATTTCATTTTTTTAAATGCATATTTGAAAGTTTTACCAAAGTAAACTATGCATTATTATATGCCATTCAAGGCTCTCTCTATTTACTTACTTACTTACTCCTGTTCTTCTCTCCTGTGTGGAGAATAGGGCCTCACTCTATTTACTTGACCAAAACTTTTATACAAAATAATTTCAGTGACTGTTAAAAATAGTATCAGTGGGAGAAAGCAGCATTGCTTCTCTTCTGGATGAGTTCTTGAAGTACACAAATTTCATTCTCCATATTCATGTATTTTAGGGATCAATGTAATGTTTTTTGGATAACTCAGATTTCAATTTTTATTAGAGTATCCAAGAAAGTAGTAAACTCATTGAGAACTAATGAAAATATAATCTGTTAGACGAGAAAGCTAACTGTATCAATATAGGATCTGTTTGCTTGAATACTGGCTTATTGCCTTCTTAGAGTGGAGTTTTTCTGTCGTATTATTATTATTGTTACGGGATGTGGCACTACGACCACCGGGTCTATTGTGCTCCCTATCTGTCATAAATCGGTTCGCTTACTAATCAGGTATTGGGCAGAATAATTTTAGTTATAGAATAATTTTAGTTTGTGATGGTTTTATTTTGTGACTTTAGTCGCTAATGGTAGCTTTTATCTTGTGAATTCATAGAAGTAAACCTGTGCTATTAGTTCAACACTCTGAATAGTCTCTATACGACTCTATACCTTTTTCTTCCGAATTCCTTCTAATGGTTTGAGTTATGGAATAATATCAACATTTTATCCGAATATTTCTTTATAATTTGAATTATTTAAGGAAAGAATTAACTTTTTCTTCGAATACTTCTTCATAATTTGTACTTATAAAGGTAAATGAACATACTTTTAGAAAATCCTAGAATAAAGGGTTAATAATTATTATTTCTTATATTAATAAATAAATTAAATCTAGCTTCATAAGTTAATTAAAATATATTTTAAGTTAATCTTAAATACTGTATTGTAGAATATTTTATATTTTGACCATAATATTTGTTCTGTGATTGTTAATATATTCTCTTTGCTTGTAATCTGTAGTTAAGATAAATTGTAAATAAATATTAATAATAAAAATATATATATATAATACAACTTAACGACTTTTAATTATTGTTATTATGATTTTCCTTCAAAACGATGCATATTTTTTGTATATTGGACTACTGCATTGCAGTACACCCCAACCAAAATGCATTGCAAACTTTTCCAATATATGTTATTCTCTAGAAACAGTTTCACATCTGCTCCATTAAAAAATTTGGCAAAATAGAAAAGTGTTTATAAAATATTTTGAGAATGTAATCGCTAATATTTTCTGATCGTTTCCATATTGCCTAAACTCTATGGATAAAAAAAATTTACCGATTGGATAAGAGCGGGAATTCAAAAAAAGAACGAATAAGTTCTTTTTTGATCACAAGGTATGTTATGTGGACTGTCACAACAGTATTGCCAATTTCTTATTTTTGCAAGGTTTTGGAACTTTTTGATTGTACCTAAATTTAAAAGGAAATGTAGATATGCTCAAAGAGGCTGTAATAATGTTAAATAATATATAAGGAACTGTAAAACCGACACAACTTTTTTATCTTAATTTATAATAATTTTGAATAAAAATAAATATTTATATTAACAATCTTACATACCTTCAGCTCAAAAAGTACTACTAATAGACTTTTTTCAAAAAAATTTTTGTTATGTTGGTACACTCTTTCTTGATATATGGTACAAATTTGAGCGCCATCTGTCAATTAGTTTGTTTACAGCAGCCGTTAATGTGAGACTACCTCAAGTGCATTTAGCGATTTTTACTATGGAAAATTCAATTAAACAACGAGTTTGTTTGAAATTTTGTGTTTTGAACGAAATTTCATGTGTTGAACCATTGAAAATGGTGCAGAAAGCTTACGGGGACTCTTCTATGTCTCCAACACAGGCATACGAGTGGTATAAGTCATTCAAAGAGGGTCGTGAAGTGATTAAAGATTTGCCTCGTTCTGGACGTCCATCAACATCAAATACCGAAAAAAACGTGGCAAAAATCAAGAAATTTGTGCTGGAAGATCGTCGTATGACTGAAAGGGAGAGTGCTCGTAACTTAAACATTTCAAATGGATCCGTTCACCACATTTTACATAATATATTGGGCATGAGACGCGTTGCAGCTCGACCTGTACCGAAACACCTTGATTTTTTGCAAAAAGAATACCGAAAGAACGTGTGTGAAGAAATGATTTTTGAGCATGGAAATGGCTCTACATTCATGAAACGCATCATAATAGATGATGAGACATGGGTTTATGAGTATGACGTCGAAACCAGTCAACAATCGAACGAATAGCGCTTCGAAAACGAGCCAAAACCCAAAAAACCGCGCAAAAGTCGCTCGAAAATTAAAGTTATGCGCACTGTTTTTTCAACTACCGCGGTGTTGTTCATTACGAATTTTTGCCAGAGGGTCATACCATCAATAAAGAATATTACCTTTGCGTTATGTGGCATTTGCGTGAGTCGATCCGTAAGAAAACACCAAATTTGTGGAAAGCCAACAATTGGATTCTTCACCACGACAATGCTACATCGCACACGGCTCTTGTTGTACGCGATTTTTTGACCAAACACGGCACCACTGTCATCGCTCAGGCACCATATTTGCCAGATCTGGCGCCGTGCGACTTTTTTCTGTTCCCGAAACTCAAATTGCCCCTTCGTGGTAAGCGTTTTGAGTCGTTTGAATCGGTAAAAGAGAATTGCCGAAAGAACTAAAAGCCATACCTGCACGGGCTTACGAAAAGTGTATGGAAGATTGGGTCAAGCGTTGGCATATGTGTATCGCTTTAGAAGGAGCAAATTTTGAAGGAGATAAAATAAATTTGGAATAAAATTAAAATTTGTATGTTTTATTTACGAAATTCGGGTATTTTTTGAACGGAAGGTATATATTAGAAACATGCATATTAAAGAGTTTAAGGATTTGCATCGTATCTACATAATACGAATTTTTTGCATAAACACACAAAAAAGTCCAGAGGTGACAATTCACATGATCTTGAGATATTGTGCGGCTTCTGGCTTGTAGCACCGTTGAAGCCTCATATCTTCCTTATTCATGCCTTTAATTTTGACGCCTAAAATATTGGTAATCAAGTAACTGTAAAAATCGGAATTAACAATTTTTGCCACACTTTCGTAATTTTCAAAAAAGTACACACCACCGATATATCACTAAAAAATTGTGTCTGTCTTTATAGTAAGTTTTCTCAATTTTTTAACATTCAGCGGTTGTTAAACGATTTACTTTGTAAAATATCTTAATTTTAAACTAAAAGCCTAATGCTTTGGGTGATGGTCTAGTTTGGCTTGTTACTAAAACAATGCTAGCAAATTCAGATCACGAAATAGATAACTCTTGATTAATAAATCAGTTATATAAGAGCTACATTGTTATATATATGTTAAATGTGAGTTAAGTTTACAATATGGGGGCTGCCATTTGGGACTACCTTATATTGAACTACCAAAAATGGTAAATAAAATGAATGTTTTTTTCATTAGAACTCACTTTAGTTTAGTTTAATTTGTTTAATAGCTATTTACAGATCTATTTTATGGAGTCCAATATAGTAAATATGATTCTTAATCGTTTAAAAATGATTGATAGTTAATCTTACACTCCAACAATTATTATGATCCATGCAAAATATTGACTTTGCTTGATCACAGTTGTGGAAATCAATAATAATAATAATTCAATTTAATGTATTAAAATATATTGAATATGAAATTCCCTTTAATATGATTCTTTTTGACCCTTTTACGAAAGAATCGCTCTGTATATGTTTAAGATAAATCTTTTGAAAAACTTAACCTAATATCTGTTTTTAAGATCAATTCACAAACTTTAACCTTATCAGAACTATTTAAAAGTAAACCCCAAACTTAATGCTGAAAACTATTTAATAGAAATGCTGAATTTATTTTGCCAATGAAAAAGATAACACAACTTAAAACTTTTCTTAACAGACGATGTGAGATACTTTACGAAATATAAACAAAAACTTTCAACTTTGCAATGTGAATGATAAGTGCGCTGAAGAGGAGTGAAGTGAATACATTTAACGAAATACTTGTAAGGGTGATATTATAGATAAAAAAGAAGGACAAGCAAATTAAATTTAAACAATTTTAGTGAATACAAAAAAAGCAGCTAATAGAGCAAAAAAAAAGCATATTTTAATTAATTAAAATTAATTAATAATAAAAATAACAAATAATATAAAGTTTACTTGTTAAAATATATGCGGAAATGAATTCGAAATAAAAACACATATAATAAAAGACTTTCGTATCATGTACATTCATTAGAGATTTGCATATTTATTAAATTTATTTTAAGTAATTAATTAAGTCTGAACTTATTGTATTTAACTCGAACACGCCCCTCGAACTCTTGTCCTAACAAGAGTATTCCAACCGAAAACAACGGAAACTTGTGCTACCCAGACGTTGTCTGTTTAAGCAATATTGCAATTTTAAAAACCCCCAAGGGCTACTATTGAACAAACCGTCAATTATGTTTAAATGCAATATTTAATAACATCACAGGTTTATGGTTGAAGTGAGAGGGTATTTACATTTATTTATATGTCATTTAAACTACATATATACATCTATATTGACAAGCAACATGCATATCAGATACTCGTACAACATATGATGCAATTGCATAAAACGATGGTAATAGAAATTTACAGGGTATTGATTCCCAGTAAAACAGAAGATTACGACTGTAATAAACCTTTTGTACCAATAACTAACTTTTCTATACAGAAAAAACTCAGTTGAGAATTTTCTAATATTAGTCGGTATTAGGCCGGTGCTTATACTTCTCTTCGTGAAATAAATTCAAGCCAAATACTAGTCTTTTAACCGGACCATCTCTTTAATATGGTACACCGTTAGAGAAATGGGTTTGTTGTTAATTTAAATAATTTCATTGTATGTGAACAATCACCTGAATGCAAAAACAAATTTCAAATGAAGTTAAAATTTTTCTATTCAGAATAAAAATTCAATATAGGTCCCGAAATATATTTACATTTTCTACCTATTAGACACAGACTTTTATAAAATATATAATATATATAACATATTTCTATAGTAAGAAATGATTAAATACTAAGCATTATACGCTTTCAATAATATTGTAAAAATATGATCAACTACTGCAATGCAATAGTACAAATGATCAACTATACAACTGATAGACTGTATATATAATGTACCATAACATCAAAATTGATCCCATCAAAAAATACATAAAGGATAGTGCCCTGAAATTATTTCAGACTGAAATCAGGCGAAATCTGACAGACTTACCAACACCGCGTTATCAAATATCAGAATGGTTACAGGCTCCTCGGGGAGGTATGCAGATCTCAGGTCAATTATTGCTTACTCCGATGAAGTGATAAACAATAATCTAGTCAAGGCGCAAAGAGGGGTTTTGAAGAAAGCTCGCAGTTAATAGAGAGTAAAAGTGCTTAAGTGCACTGACTCAACTAGCCTCTACATAATATATAACATTCTGAAAAAATGAATAGCTGCTAAATATTGTATATGTACCAGAAAATATAGTTGACAAAAAATAAAATATTAATATTGTTAATTTCACAAGAGTTAAATAACAGTCTCAGTTCTTCTCTACTATGAAGAAACGCCTTATTACATTTATAAGCAAGTATCAGATCACATCACATCAATAACGACTACTTTCTATAACTATTCATTTTTCTATCGGAAAGTGAATTGTGGACCAACTTATTTCACAGTTAGGCGTATTTTCTGCGCACTTATTATAGATCATTTTTGTATAACCAGGAAAATATTACAACAAAATATTACCTCTCTTGCCAGTTGCTCTAACAATCTTCCAAGATCCTCGAAACTTAGAATAAGAACATAAACAATATTATTTTTAGCGAAATGGTTACTGAAAAAGAAACGCGCTTAATATCAGCATCAACTAAAGCTTACACTAAACACAAAAAAAACTTGGTATATATGTAAATTATGTTAAATACCAGGTATACCGGTATGAAGCGAGCGTAAAGATACAAATGTTTCGACAGGGAAGACGCCGAATTGCAAACGATATTGGATGGAGATGACACTTTGGGTCAAAAGCAAATGGCAGAAATGTTAAATGTTGCACAACAAACAATTTCTGACCGTTTAAAAGCTATGGAAAAGATCCAAAAGTGTGGAAAATGGGTGCCACATGAATTGAATGAAAGACAGATGGAAAACCGAAAAAACACTTGTGAAATTTTGCTTCAAAGACACGAAAGAAAATCGGTTTTGCATCGGATTGTTACTGGCGATGAAAAATGGATTTATTTTAAGAATCCTAAACGGAAAAAATCATGGGTTAATCCGGGACAACCATCAACATCGACTGCAAAACCAGATCGATTCGGCAAGAAGACAATGCTGTGTGTTTGGTAGGACCAGAAAGGTGTGGTGTACCACGAGCTCCTAAAATCTGGTGAAACCGTCAATGCTGGTCGCTATGAACAACAAATGATAAATTTGAACCATGCATTGATCGAGAAACGACCAGAATGGGCCAGAAGACACGGCAAGGTAATTCTGCTCCATGACAATGCACCTGCTACCCCACCCGCCGTATTCACCAGACTTGGCTCCTTCCGACTACCATTTGTTTTCATCGATGGGACACGCATTGGCTGAGCAGCACTTTGATTCCTACGAGGAGGTCGAAAATTGGTTGTCTGGTTGGTTTGCTTTAAAAGACGAACAATTTTTTTGGCGTGATATCCACAAATTGCCAGAAAGGTGGTCAAAATGTGTACAAATCAATGGCCAATACTTTGAATAAAATGTTTTTTACTTTCCTATTAATAATTAGTGTTTTATTTTCACCAAAAAAATAAAAAATCGGTACTAAAAAAATTCATACTGGTACACCTGGTATTTTATGATACGAGTAATAGTTAAAAAGTGTGGATATATGATAAATCTGACAGTCAAATTACAATGATTCGTCGTGTGAATCGGTATATTTCCTTTTTGATTTCAGATGTCAGTTTAAAATTTTTGACAGCTTAAATTACAAACAAAACTCTCGTATGAATTAAGTATAAGCGCTGTTGCGAAAATTAACATTTACACTCGGAGACTCATATTACCCATTGTGTAACAAAATAGTAAATCTGTCAATAAAATACATTCATTAGTTCATTTCAAATTATTTACCGTTTCTGCTCTATATGGATTAAGTTCAAGTCCTTACTCTATAACCAATAAACAATATTTAAT